ATAATCAGTTTAGATTTCTCTGTATTGTGTATTTTGTGGTAGGTAAATATAGCCTGCTTTAAACCGCTTAAAGTTTCTGATAGGAGTAAGAATAAAAGGCAAATAAAAAAAATGACAAGCTTGATGCTTGGTACTGAAAGGCGCATTACAGAAAATAATCCCCAAAAGAGGCCAAAACCAACTCTTTCTTTTCTGTATTGAGCCTTTTCTGGGTTCGCTTTCTTTCTTACTACTAAATTTAACTATGTCTTTAACATATGAGCCTGTCTCCAGTAGACAGTGACAGAGCCAGGAAGCAATGGGAGGGCAGAAAGGGTAAGATCTCATCCTGACCTTAAATGCCCTACTGGATATCTGTGCAAGAAAGGCAATAGCTTTAGCTTTGAACCTGTTTTGAGCTGTTTGAGCTGAAGCGGTCTCTGTTAAAGCTGATTGTAGATCATTTCTGAGAGGTAGAACATGTTCTAGAGCTCCGTAGAGAAGTGTTGCAAGTGAAGGCTTTTGAAGAGATGAGTAAGATGTTGAAAGAGATAACAACTTAAGAAAAGACACTTCACATCTGTTCTTTCTTTTTCATCATGGGGCCCTTTGCACAAAAATCTTCAAATTCTTCAAGTGTGTTTGTTAAAGTGGAAGAGAGTAAAGATATTCTTCTAAAATACTGCTTAGGACACCATTAGCCTTATGTCAACTCTCCGGGAACATTTCAGAATGTTAACATGTCCCCACTGTCTGTTTTGTTATTGGATAAGTGTTTGAAAAACATTCCCAATTGTGGAACTGATAGATATTCACAGTATGACAATTATTTTAATGAATTTGTCTTTAAATGTCTCTTGAGTATCTTTTCAAGCTGTGGCTTGGCAATAGATGACTTTGGATTAGAACAGTGGTTCTCAAACTGTGGTACGCGTACCATTAGTGGTACGCGGGCTTCCTCCTAGTGGTACGCGGAGGAACCGCTGAATAATGAAAGAAACAATTAACACTTAATCCTTTAATGCGTAATATAACATTGATGTGATCAGCATTGGCTGTTTAGTGAAGCGTACGATCACAACGCTGTGCTTAGAATGTTTATTTTAGTGCATTGTGTCATAAGCTGCTGAAAATCAGTTTCCAAAGTTTAAGAATTGATTCTGAAGCGTGATTTGACTGACATGAAAAGTAGCCAATCACAGTCGACCTTGTCTAGTTGCGTGAAACGTAAGGGCGGGACAAATGCTTTCTGTGTTGCAGAGACAGAAAAAACAACTTAAAAACAAATGTTTTGTTGGAATAATGCTTCTCGGATGTTTTCACTGTAGATATGTTCAACAGAGTAATTAAACCGCGGACATATGTCCTGCCTTTTTGATGATCTACATACACGTTTCGCTCTCCGACAGCCAGTCTGACCTGTCACTCCTCCAAACACATCATTCTGAATGGCGGCGCGGGAATTGCGGTATTGCGCAATTATTCATTTCTGCAAATGCGGCGAGTGCTTTATTTTAACACGAGAGCGCATTCATGTACGCAAATCGCTAAAACAGATATGCGAGCTCTTAAATATGCTTTTTTCAAATGAACTGCAAGACCTCTCATGATCGCCTGTGTGCTCAGATTGAATACAATCGCGATCTCTCCACTATTAAAGCAAACATTATTTATCTTTGCTCCTTGACTAAATTTAGTCAAAAGTATTAAAAGTTATCAAATATTTAGAATTAGATTGATGCATGATCGATGACAATGCTAATGGTCTTCTTATTTGGCTGTGTTGTGAAGTGAAACTTACTTTTAGCAAAGGTGAATTTTTTTTTATTTCTTTACGACAAAAGAATTATGCTGGAAATGTTTCTGGATGAGGTATTTGTGTGATTTACACATTTAGCTGTATTCTGATCTGTCCTAAAGCATTACAGGTCAAAGCAATTCTTTGTTTCTTATTGTTTATTTATCAAAATTAACAATAAGGCTCTGAGGCTTAAAGCACTGCTTTGATAAATGTAGTGTCGTCATATTTCAAATACCTCAAGTAAAATGAAGCCATTTGTTTTATTTTTTTACTGACAGTGTACTTGTATTTTTTTAAAGTTCTATTTTAGATTAAGATCAAGTGTAAAATAAAATCTACATGTGATGTACAGCTATTTAAGAAACAAATTTGTCATATTGTAAAGAAAAATAGTGTAAAATATGTAAATAAAAGGCCAAATTAAATCTTTTTACCATATACTTTAATTCAACCTTTCAAAGCTTGAAAATATCGTTTATAAAAATGGGCAAAAAGTGTCTCTATGGCCTTAAAGATTATGTGGTAGTTTTACCAGTGCTATTGAAAAAGATTAATTGTCTTGAAAGGAAAAATCGACCATACTTCCTTTGTTAGTACAAATTCCTATACATGTAGCTTTGGATTTAAGCAATTAAACCATTCAATCAGGTTTAAACTTAAAAAAAGTGATTTCATAATGAAAATCTGATTTTTTTTTTTTTTTCAAAAGTAACCAACTAGTACTTTTTAAAAGAGTACTTTGTACTTTTACCTAATATTAGTATTATTTACTAACATTTTTGTTATTTTAGCAGTGTAATAGTACTTGAGAAAGATTTCACAAGCATTTAATGCAGGTTTATTATATTATTAATATATGATTCATAAATATTATTATTAAGTGTTTTTATTTGTATCTATTCATATGCAATGTTTTATGGGTTGCTGAGAATACATTTCAGGTCTTCAGTACATAGCATGTCAGTCTTGAAAAAAAAAATAGGTGCTGGAAAAAGTGCTTAAAATTCCTTGATTTTCATAAGGCTGTGCCTGTATGAACCCTGTCATATGTACATTGACCATATATTTCAAGATTTGTCTGAAAGTGTAGGAATATGACATATAGCCTATATTCATAAGGTCCAAGCAACATGTCCAGCTTTTGATGAATAGGCTACTATGAATACTTTAGATTTAAGTACAGCAGTTTTCCTTTTACTTTTTATCTTTTTTTCATTTTTAATGAACTTTTAAAAGCATATTTTAACTTTTTTTTTTTTATCTGCAAGCACAGTTAATGTTCAGACTATTTCAAATGTTTAAAGTGATTGACAATAATACATATTCTTAATAATAGGAATTAATTTGCATCATTTTTAAACTGTGCACACCTGTAGCTGCTTAATTAGGCCTACGACGCTATTTTTTAATACTGGTTAAAAAATAGCATCGTAAGGTGGTACTTGGAGAGACAATTTTTTTCTAAGGTGGTACTTGGTGAAAAAAGTTTGAGAACCACTGGATTAGAACATTTAAACACATTTTTTAAAGATGTTCATTAACATTATATTTTAATTACAATCTTTTGTGGGTGAAATCCAGTCATTCCAATGGGAATTTGAGCAATACTTTCTATGAAGACTACACATATATTACAAGTTTATTCTTTATATGTTATAATGCATGCATATGCATGTGTTGAATCATCTTCTGAATAGTTGAAACAACTGTAAAACACTGTATAATTCTATTTAAGTTACATTAAATTATTTATCTTCCAACTTTATAGAATATCTGGGATGTTTTCACATCGCTTCACTATTTTCACATTTGATGTTACAGCATTATTCCGAAATGGAGTGAATTCATTATTTTTCTTAAGATTCTACAAATAATGCCTCATCATTTTTCAGTTAGCACTGTAACCTCACAGTAAGAAGGTTGCTGGTTAAAGTCCTGCCTGGGCCAGTTGGTCTTTGTGTGTAGCTTGTATGTTCTCCCTATGTTTGTGTGGGTTTCCCCCACAATTCAAAGTCATGCAGTATCAGTGAATTGGGCAAACAAAATTGCCCATAGTGTATGGTTGTGTGAATGCGTGAGTGTATGGGTGTTTCCCAGTACTGGGTTGTGGCTGGAGGGTGTTGGTGGCTCATTCTGCTGTGGTGACCCCTGACTAAGCCAAAAGAAAATGAATGAATAGGCGTTCATAGCCTTTGCTCAACATTTTTTGAAGCACATTTGGCAACAATTACAGCCCCACGTCTTTTGAATATGATGTTAGAAGTTTGTCTTACCTATTATTGTGTAGTTTCTTCTGTTCTTCTTTGAAGAACCACTCAAGCTCTGTCTGGATGTATGAGGGAATTTCAGTGCACATACATTTTCAAATCACTTCAGAGATGCTCAATTGGGTTCAAGTCTGGGCTCTGGCAGGGCCACTCAAGGAAAAAAAAAACACTAACATAGTCAAACTTTGTTATTTTGGCTGGTTGCTTAGGGTTGTTGTCCTAGTGAAAGAACCTTCGCCCAAGGCTAAGGTGCTCTGAAGCAGGTTTTCATCATGAATGTCTTTGTAAATTTCTTCACAAAGCTTTACCTTAATCCTGACTTGTCCCCCAGTCCCTGCCAGTGAAGTACATTAACAACAGCTGCAATATTTGTCAAACTGTAGTGAGTTTATTCATCTGCTGTCACTCTATGTGGTATGTGGGCAGAGTAATACACAAGAGTAAGGAGACTGTACAAGTGCTGTTATTACAGGAATATCGCACTGCTATCAGCCAATCAGATTCGAGAAACAGAGATAACCGTTGTGTGTGTGTGTGTATACATATATATATATATATATATATATATATATATGTGTGTGTGTGTGTGTGTGTGTGTGTGTTTGTGTGTGTGTGTGTGTGTGTGTGTGTGTGTGTGTGTGTGTGTGTGTGTGTGTGTGTGTGTGTGTGTGTGTATATATATATTTATGTATATTTATATGTATGTGTGTGTGTGTGTGTGTTAACCATTATATTATACACTGCTGGAGAAAAACTTTTCACAATGTCTGGAGTTCTTCTTGTACAATGTGGTATTCTATTGTATGCAACACAAAGGAACGGTCTTAGAGAATATAAATCAATGGGGAAGAAATGTCTACTGTGACCACAGCTAAACTTCCTTTTAGAGAAAAAAACATATTGGCTCACTTGCAGTACTAGAAAATTGATTTTGTTGCTGTTGTTGTTTTTAGATGGAGACTGAATGTTCAGTCGAAGAGACTTCAGAGGCTCTGACTCCACAATCCACCGACCAGTCTTTACTTGATGAAAAGGTGACATCTTTTGCTATTTTGTTATAAGTTATATATAACTCCCAGTATAATCCAGATATTTTCCACTATAAATTAAATTGTGTTTTACAAAAGGGTAATCACTTTTGAAGACATGCACATTTGAATCTGCGTATGTAAGTTTATTTTTATTGAGAAAATATTCCTCTAAAAATATTTCTTTTAGTTTACAATTTGATAGAAATGCAAATGACTGTCATTACTTGTGAGAATATTAAAAGAGCATTAAAAAACTATACAAGAAATATCTGGAGAAAGACAGCTGGTATCTTCAATAAAAGAAATTTATATTAAAATGTGTTTATTTTTTTATTAAAGAAATATTTTTTTTCTGGTCACTTTTTGTTTTCCAAAAAATGCTAAGTGTCTAGTTTATTTCAGAGATCTTTGTGTGTGATAAAAGGATTTTAACATAAAGTATTCTGCAAAATTGGACAATACTAATACTCATGAAACTGTATACCCAAAAATTAAAGAAAAAAATTGGTAAGGTAGTTTTAAATGAAGTTTAGCATATGTTTTTTTTTTTAGGATGCTGGAAGGCACTTGTGTAAACACGATTAGGCCTTGTTTACAAGTGGTATTTTTATTAGCCTTGGTACTTTGAGAACTTATCTTGTCTTATTTTGTCTTCTGTTATTCTAAAGGTGGCACTGCTCCTGAAAGAGATTGAAGAACTGAGAAATGAGCTCAGAAGCAAAGACAGGATGATCGCTGAGCTTTCCCAGCAGCTGGTGTGTATCATATATTTGCTTATAACAAACAGACATCAACTTAAAAAAAAAAAAAAATCACAAGACTGATTGCTTAAGTACATTCTTTTGCTGTACATAGTTTATTTAGTACATAGGTTATAGAGATAGTGACGTTATTTGCAAGTAAAAATTGTATAATAAATAATTAATATTATTCAATAATAATAACTATTATTATTATTAAAATTATTCATTCATTCATTCATTTTCTTTTCGGCTTTATTTATCCAAGATCACCACAGCGGAATGAACCGCCAACTTATACAGCACGTTTTTACCCAGCGCATCCCCCTCCAGCTACAACCCACCTCTGGGAAACATCCAAACACACTCATTCACACTCATACACTATGGACAATTTAGCCTACCTAATTCACCGGTACCACATGTCTTTGAACTGTGGGGGAAACCGGAGCACCCAGCCGAGGCTCAATCCAGCTACCTTCTTGCTGTGAGGCGACAGCACTACCTACTGCGCCACTGCCCTATTAATATTATTAAAATTATATTATTTAATAATATAATATTATATTCATGTAATCCATGTTTACACCTGGTATTAATATTAATAATGGTTGATGCTAATACATATATAAATGGAGTTTAAAACTCTTTTAGCTTGTCCACTTTTGACTACTTCCATGGGTTGTCAAAACAGATCCAATGATCAATCTTCTATAATAGCTCAACATTGCACCACAATATAATTTATACTTGCATATGTGTGTTTTAATTGATCTGACTGTCATATTATAATACATATACAGTACTGGATTATGTGGGTATCTTTAAAGCACAACACAATTTATTCATCATATTTGCATGCACATTACATAATTTCAACCCACCATCATTATACCCTCTTTCCAAAGGTTTCCCTTCAAAAATGTTTTTAAGCAAATGCTTTTAAAACAAAGGTTTGCAATCTATTCTAAAAGCTACTTGATGTGGACAAACATAAAAACACTTTAATGATTCGTTCTGTTTGATCGAAGCACAGTGACTGCATGCTGATGCCAATTATAAACAGAATCTGTGTGTCCAAAACAGGTAGTGCTAAAATGATTATTTGTTACAAACTATTGCATTCAGAGATTGAAATTATTTTTGCAGTGTCTTAACAAAGTAACAAGAATGGATGTTAATAAAGGAATTATATTTTTTGAGATACAGTTGAATTTTGTTGCCAAATGGGATTTTGTACATGAACATGGACATACACACCAGATTTTGTGCGATGCGTCTATAGCGCTGCCACATTTATACAGTGCTCCCAGAAAAAATGTCATTCAACTGCACTAGAGTTTCAAGATTAAAGCTAATCTGAAGATGCTGGACTTGTGTGTAGTAATGAGCAAACAAAGAAAACAAAGCATTTTATAGGTAAGATTTCGTATTTTATGTTTATGTATGTCACAAACTTTTGTGCTAAACGAGTATTGATGATACTGCAGTCTTTTCCTTCACTGACCATAAGGCAAAGTAGCACCAACTCGCCCTAAATACTAGGGCTCATGCTAGTTTTGTTGAAAAATAAAACGCAAACAATGTAAATGAAATATGACAACAAGATGCTGCGGTGCCAGAAGCTTTTGTTATTTTCGGCTAAGTGAATGAGTTGGAATTCATTCTCAAACAAATCACTCCCTCCATTAGAAAGAGAAGTGAAAGCAGGAGAGGGTGTGTGTTTCAGGACACGGATTAGATCAGATTTAACAGGGAGAAAGGATAATACATTTCCATGCACACACACACACACATGCTTTTTGTCAAAAATTACCATCACTTGTCCAGTGATGTACAAAAGAGATGTTAAATTCTATTATTCATAACTTAAAAATTTTAAGAAAATAAATATTTGCATACTGACCACCGGGAAAACTGCTGATCATAGATACATGTATATGTGTAAATATATCTATGGCTCTGGATGGATAGACCTTCACTTTGGTCTCACATTTATTTCTAAGGAGCGCTACCCTTTACTAAAATGGTAGGACTATTGACGCATTCCTTCCAGTAGACAACAATAGCCTAGGCGACGTCTGACGTAAATGTCTATGGTACATGAATGCCAGACTCCATTCTTGTCATTATTTTTCCCCATCATTTCTAATTTATTACTTAGTTTTTTGATTTTTCTCACTTTTATGAAAACACATTACAATCTAAATTCAAAATATGAAAATAAGTAATGGGATTATTTTTAATGATTCTTATTAGATTCTAATACGTTGTATGCAATTGGTCAAATGTTATGGTATTAAATAATTTAATTAATCAAAAATACAACCAGTGTTCTGTCATTATCATTTAAAATCAGTAGTGTTCTGTCATTATCATTTAAAATCAGTAGTGTTGTGTCATTATTATTTAACATCAGTATTTTCTTTTCCTGTGATGACAATGCTTAATTTTAGCAGCCATTATTCATCAGTCACACGATACTTCTGAAATTATGTTATTATGTTGATTAGGTGCAAGTAATATTATACATTACTATCAATGACTTTGTGTCAATGGGATAGTTTTATTAATTATTTCTTTTGCTTTGTGAAATGTGTTTAATATATTTTTATTGTTGTTGTAAAAGTCAAACTCAGACTCCTTGATGATTTACCGGAGATATTGTGCATTTTGTATTTTTTATGAATATTTTTGGAAAAACAACATGACCAGTGTTTAAATTGTATGCTATCAATTATGTGTTTTACTTTGCAATACATCATCATTTTTTTTTTCATTTTCTTTTAGTCTTCTCCAGTGGAAGATATACAGTGCCACTGCCTGGATGGTTTAGATGGTAACAAGTTGTCATTGGAGCACCAGGACAAGGATACTCAAACCCTGTGGAAGCCACATAATGTGAGTATAATTGCAGGAATATAAAAGTAAAAATAAAAATAATAATAAAAATAAAAGTAAAAGTATAAAGTATAAGTATAAAGTATAGTATAAGTATAAAAGTTTATCTCTTAGAATGTTTGTCTGTAGTCCAGGTAACACAACGTATGAAGGATGTGAATAATTTATTTTCAGGCTCTGAGAAAAATCATTCTCAGTTAGTGGTTGTTGGCCTGTACTTTCAGAGTCATTGAGAACAGGAAATAACAATTCAGTTATTATTCAGAAAGATGCCTCAGAGTGATCAGTTTAAAAATGGTGTTGACAGCTGACAAAATCAAACGGCCCAAAGCAAGGGACAATCATGTGGCGGTAATCAAATTTTCCTGTGTGTCTTATGTAGTTAATGCATTAGTAATACTTTTCATTCTTCAGTAGTTAGTAAAATGAGGCGCTTATTCTTTGGAAAATATTGTTTTTCAGCCTTCATTTTTTAAATGGTTATTTGTACTGGGAGCATTGACTAAGTTACTAATAAAAGTAAAATGTCTTGGTTTTTGGTACCATAGCAATCAATAGCAGTACTGGATTGTATTTTAACATTACTAATCATCACATTTAACAATGTTTACATTATCATTATTTCAAGAATCATTGCCCCTTTCACACATACAGACCTGTCCAAAAAATTATCAACAATTTTCCGGAAAGCGATCACATGTGAACAGCCCTTTTTTGAAAATACCGCTAAAATTGTTCCAACAATTTTCCAGAAAGAGGTGTTGTAACATTACCGGAAATTTGCCTGAATGCTGCTCTGTGAGTGCAATCGTGTGATGTACAAGACATTAAATAAATAAAAACTCCAGGTTTGTACAGCCCACTTAGAGCTGGAAGGCCCACCCACTTAGAGCTCAAGTCCCACCTACTTGGAGCTTGCTCCGACCTCTGTTTATACCCTACTCACAAGAGATGTCTACTCCAGCCAATCAGAACATTCAGATGTATTCACATCTGTGCTGTTTATAAAAATAAAAGCTTTTGAATATTTTTTCAGACACATTTAGTTACTATATGTTAGTTAGTCAGATAACATTTCTATGGTCCTTCTTAATGCCAACTGTGGAAAAACATATTGATAAAATGCCTCTGGTAAATCGCTGCTTGTTGACCTTCAAGCTCTGCTTCAGTTGCTTGACGCGAGTGCACGAGCGCATGCATATTATGTACATCTCGACATAGGAAAGTGTTCCTCCATATGTCTTCATTGAAGTGGTTCACAATACTTATCCTTCCACAAAATTTGTAATGTCGTCAAATGTCTAAACATTTAGCTGCAGTTTACATTTCTGCCTTTGGATGTCTCTGGAACAAAGCAGCTGCGTGAACGCTCAAGCTTTAAATAAAAATGAAACCATCAACTAAAGCCAGACCCCTTCCATGTTTACAAATATATTAAGAGGCCATTTCTGGTTAATGATATCAGAATTTACCTGTATTTTTGAATTGATGTGTGAATGGGGAAAAATCCGGAATATCCTTGCCTGTGTGAACAGCTCTTTTTTAAATTTACCGGTAAAGACTAGACATCCAGCACATGGAGGCTATGCTGGAGATTGGAGATTGTGGCTTGTTCTGTTTCAAGTGCGAGTCCCCTCCATTGCTACCTGCACAGCGGTTAGTAAACTAAGAGATTTGAAGAACACATTGAGCTGTCTGGGGCAATTGCTCGATCTTATTTCAACAAGCAGTTGAAAACCGTGCTTTCCTGGGTAGCCACTAAAATTGGTATGTGAGACTTGGCCAAGGTTTTAAACAGGGGTGCTCAACCCTGTTCCTGGAGATCTACCTTCCTGTAGATTTCAGCTCCAACCCTGATCAAACACACATGAACCAATTAATTAGGTCCTAAACAGTACTTGAAATTACAGGCAGTTGTGCTTGATTTGGGTTGCAATTGAAATCTGCAGGAAGGTAGATCCCCAGGAGCAAGGATGGTCACCCCTGCATAAAAACCTTGCCTGCTGTCTGTGCTGCAGCCACTGGTTTTGCTCCATTGCTGCAAACAGTAACATCTCACCTTTGGCCAATTTGTTCAGATATGCAGGAAGGCAATACTGTCTCCGGCTGCCATTAAGCAACATTGGAAATTGTGAAGCGTCCCTGAGGTGAAGCGCCCCTGAGGTGAAGCGCCCATATTGCCTTGCCTATAGTGAACGGCTGAGATCTGCTTGAAAATCTTCTTTTTAAGATGAGGAGAGCAGTTTCTATAATGATCATGAGATATGGTTCATGATAGAAAGAACAAGATCTTGAATACAAGCAGCTACACTTTTGCAAGGTGGTAAGGTGCCCCCTCAGAGATTAAGTGAGGAGCTCTGTCACCACGGAGTAACTTAAGGTAGAGCCGCTGCTCTTCCACCTCGAGAGAAGCCAGTTGAGGTGGCTCAAGCATCTGTTTTGGATGTGTCCTGAACGCCTACCTTGGGAGTTGTTCCCGGCTTGTTCTAATAGGAGGAGGCCTCGGGGAAGACCCAGGACACACTTGCCTCGGAATCTCTGCAGAGGTGCTTGAGGAAGTGTCTGTGGAGAGAGAAGTCTGGGCGTCTTATCTGATAGTGCAGCCCCCAAAATAATCAATAGACAATGATGATGATAATGGCCAGAAGAAGGTGAGCAATTTTCTGGATGTGATGTTTTGGAGGCTGCTGGTGGGTGATGCGCTGATTTTTCACCTATAGCCATGAAGTATATTTTGCAGTGGACAGGAGGCCATCTGCAGACAACAGATCCCTTTCTCTTGTGTCTCCAGCCTCTCTGTGGGATTCTGTAATCTGGGTAAGAGCTGTACCGCAAACATCTCCACCTCTTTGAGACCCTACTTCTCCTGGGTAATTAAAAATGCTAATTCCGAAGTGCTGCATTAGCAGGGGTATTGTTTAAATTAAGCATGCATCCTTGGGTTTGTGGCTGGAACCTAATGCACAGGTATATTAACTGCCTGGAGCTGCTGGCAGTGTTTCTCACCTTGTGCAGGTTTTTGTCACTTTTTGCAAGAGAAACATGTGTTGCTCTTGACAGTCAAGACAGTGATGGTAGAGTACATCAGTCATTGTGTGTATGTCACAGTGTATGTCTCATGTGGTTCAAATTGCTGTGTGTTTATTATATTTTCGTAGAGTTTAATCCATTTCGGAATAAGTCTGTAACACAAAGAAACTAAATGATTTAAAATGAAACTCCAATTTTGCCACAGGTTCCCTGTGAGGCTTAGGTTTAGAGTTGTGGGGTGAGGTAGAGCCATATAATAAGCGGTTTTACAGTATAAAACACATGATGCCTATAGAGTGTTCCTTTAAACCATGTATTTGTGTGTGTTTGTGTGAAGTGGATCCACATGATGTTCTAACAGAGAACATATAATGTATTCTAATAGCATTTTACTTTGTTATGTGTGAATTTAAATGGTATTTAATTACAGAGGTAAATATATGCTTGTGTGGAGATGCTGCAGACAAATTTGTGAATAAAAGTGTGCATTGAAGCAAATACTGCTGTAAAAAGCACATTATATTTTTGGTGTTTTGTGTACCAGTACTTATAAAATAAAAGTGTACTTTTTAATTTACTATTGCATTTTGCGCATAACAGCATGATTAATTGTGTTTTATGTTTAAAAAAAATGCATTGCCCGGCATTGCTGTACACTAAACACATCAAACATAAAATGTCCTGTCTCTTTTCTCACTGCTGTCACTATTCCTTATATCCTTCTGGAGCTTCTCTGGGGATCTTCAGACTTATGTGTTGCACAGGTGTCTGACATCAGCTTTGCCCTTCTCCCATGTTTCTCGATCCTTGTTTCTTGCTACACAACAAAAAAATGTTCAGTAACCAAAGAAATTTATACATTACTATGAATTAAAATTTTAAGCAAGAACGAATCAGACCCAGAAGATATGTGACAATATGCCATACAGTAGATTTCCAGTTTATCTGCACCTAAACAATACACACAAATAAAATTGTTATTGGTTGCTTAACATGTTGCCATCTCAAAAAATGAATCAGACTTTATGCAAAAAATGAATCATCTGATCATCCATGCGTAATATGAGTTCTTTAAAGGAATACTTTACTGATGACAATTCTGTTATCATTTAATCATCCTTTACTTGTTTCAAATCTTTGTTTTATATGTTAAACACAAAATAAGATATATTGCAGAATGCTAAAAACCTGTAAACACTGATTTCCATAGTATTTGTTTTTTTTCGATGTTATGTGCGTATGGATGTCAATGGTTTAGCTTACTTTAAAATATTTTCAGTTGTGTTTAACAGATGAAAGAAATAAAGGTGTGGAACCACTTGAGGGTTAGTAAACAATGAGTAAATGTTCATTTTTGGCTGAATTATACATTTAATTTCACAGCGAAGTTGTACATAAATGTGCTAAAGTGTTAAGTGGTTTGAGAAACAATAGACTGATAGATACAACCCAAGCTCATTCTGAAAACGTATTGCTATATGCATTTCTGGAGAGTGCTGAATACATCCCGGGAGCTACGTTTTTTTTTTTTTTTTTTTCCTCCATCAGAGGCCACTGTCTACACTTTTATAGATCGGACCTGCTGTTTTCGCGTAAATCCACCAGAGGCCGCTGTTGACTGACTTATTAAATGAATGACTGACCAACCGATCAACTGACCTACCATCTCTTTCCCTAAACCCAACCAATAGTGTTTTCAGAAGCACCGATTGACCTGCCACTACCCTAAACCGAACCGATAGTTTTAAACAGCAATCCAGAAAAAGAAAAGTCCTCGCAATTTTTTTTTTACCACATTTTCAGATTTTACCACATCCTCACCTTTTTATTTGTTCATCTTTTTTTTTTTTGGATTCTGTTTTTGTCTTATCTACTTTCTGGAACCTTTCTTCGCCGGACTCAATGTCCGTCATTATGGTCAACTTCTCTCTGCGTCTCAAGGCTGCCGACGGACATGGCGAGCTAACTGG